CTTTACTCGAAGCTGGATGATCATGAGTGAGGATAGAATCAATGATGGTTAGATGCAAGTAGATTATGGGATTCTATAAGCCATGTATTGCTTCCCTCATTTATGTAACACATATAAGGAAAATATGAGTCCCCTTCTCTCTCTCTCTCTCTCTCTCTCTCTCTCTCTCTCTTCAATACTTTGTCCACGTAATATTCAAGGGAAAAAAAAAAAAGAAACAGGATAAAAAAGCAATTGAACCTTATAACTGATTCTGATTGATCGACCAATAATCCGATAGGCAATTGAGGTATACACGAAAGGGCAATTTTATTTGCACCCTCTAAACTTGTTAAGAGACACCTACTATTATAAAAAGATAAAACTGCCCAATATGTTTCCTTAATAAATAAATAAATAAATAAATAACAAATTGAGCAATGATCCGGGTCATGATTTGGATCATGGTTCGTGACTCGCTATAATATTTTTTCTCATAAAAAATACACGTAAACCGAAAATAATTTTAAATCTGTGAACTAAACGCCTACTTCATGATTCTTTTATGGATGACGAACATTTCCCTACCCATTTATTATTTTTTCAGCAAAGCAATAATAATAATAATAATAAAACACGTTTTTTTTTTTCCTAAATAATAAATGAACGATAAGAATTTGTTGCAAAAGAAATTAGAACACGCTAAAAATCGAGTGCAAAAATACTACTCTCTTCCCAATCGTTTTAAACTTTGTTTTGTGAAATTAGTTATATTTATTAACTTTATATTAGAAATTCTGCTGCAAACAATTTTGGGCACCAAATTATAAATGTGAAGTAGAAAGAAAAGCAGGAAGAGACGCGCAAAAAGGAGTAACTATTAGAATAAAAAAGGGCATGGGAGTCAGAAGGTGATCAATTAGGAGAGAGGTAGACCGGAAGAAAAGTAGGAGGGGGAGGGGTTGGTTTAGCAGTAGTCAAATTATATAAAACCATTTAAGTGCAAGGGTATAATTATAATAAAAAAATTATATTCTATAAATATACATATATATATATATATAGTTGGAGTACTATATGAAATTTTGATAAGTGGAGTTAAAAATAAATTTAAAATAAAAACATTATGATAAGCTTTATGTAATATATAATAAGCATTATCAGCTTTGTTTTCAGATTATCTATGTTGTAAATTGCAATTTAGTGACTTCACTTCCATTTTGGTTGGGATATATATTATATTTATACACAAACCCTTCGTATTTGCTCAAAGCAATTGACCTTCGGCCAGAAATCCACCGATTGGCTACTATATATGGATCAAACTTTTTTCCCCCTAAATTATTTCTTTTTTCTTTTTTTGCTTGAAAATAGGGAATAGTACAACATGACGTATTTATATAATGGAAGATTATGTATGATGGTCCCCTCAGGAAAAAAAAAAAAACCATGATGAATTATGATGGACCATTGTAAATTAATGGGTGGTCCATTATGTGAGTCTTATTTCTAAAATAAAGTCATTTTCTTTTTTTAAAAAAAAATTAAATCATTTCTAAAATTTACTTTCATACGCTCGCACACACACATATATAATTTAATTAGCACACATCTCGTTATTTTGCTAACAGTGTAGTAAAAAAAAATTGAAACGACTTTATGTACAAGCAGAAAAAGTTGTAAATAAATTTAGAAAAACATTTTCCAATTAAAAAACGACAACACATAATTACATGGTATACAAAATTACATTTTGGGATCAAAACTCACTACAAGAAACAAGGCTATTAGCGACGACAAAAAGTCGTTACAAAAAATACAAAGTCATTGCAACTAAATTTTTAACGACCACTTGTCGTCGCAAACCTGTCGCTGCAATTGATTCATCGTAAAAATAATTTTTACGACCACAAGCAATCATCGCAGTTATATTTGCGATGACAATCATCACAAATGAGTCGCTGCAATTAGTTCGTCGGTTACATCGCTAAGATGACATGGCATTGAGTATTTACGACGACATTTTACGAATTAAATTGTCACAAAAGATGCAGAATTAGATGTGGCTTATATTTTTTGCGACCACATTTGTCGTCGCAAATAATATTTTAATTTTTTATTTATTTTTTCTCATTTTAATAATTAATGTTGTATATTACTATATATTTAAACCCAATATTAAATATAATTAATAAATAATAAAAAAATAAAAAATAAAAATAACTATTGTAAAAAGTAATTAATAAAATAAAATAAAAATGTAATTATAGTAGAGAAATGTATGGTAATAAAAATTATTACATTAATAAAAATTTAATCTCCTAAATTAGCAGCATCACTAGAATCATCGTCGTTATTATCGGAAGGATTCGGAGGCAGATGACCTGGATGAACATAGAGCACAGGAGGGGTAACCGCTGGGAAAGTCATGTTGGGGTGCATTTGAGTGATGAAATCCTGCATCCCCTCGATAAACTTTTTGTGGGAGTGTGCGACCCACTACAATCTTGTGTCCTCTGTGGGTGCCTAAAAATTACTCCATAATATCCTTCTCATTAACTGCTCCTGTCACGGATGACAGATAAGTCATTAAGACCATCAAAGCAATTTCGTGAATGGTCGAGTGTTTGCAATAAAATTTAATGTCCAGACTTACATTTCTCTATAGGTACCAAACTAACTTAACACCTTTTGACTCAAAATTTAAAGACATGTCATAATATGAAATTCTCCATTATTTATCGAAAATCTAGATTAGGAAAATGTACAAGAGTTACTTACCTTCTAAAGCACAGAGTTTTGAGAACAAGTACGGCCAGAAGTCCAGACTCCAAGAGAATAGAAACTAAAAAAAATCAGGCTAAGGATACATAGATGCATTATTTTCTTCAAGAAAAAATATATAAGCAAAACTAAATAAACACATAATATTGTAAGACAAGTTCATTGGTCATATCATTCGCATCAACATTAACTTATTGTGATCCCAAGAGTAGTTCTTGTTAAGAACTGTAGAGTGCACACGGTATCGGTTGACGAAAATATTGTTCCTATTGCTGAATCAAACCAACAAATTAAGTTCATACACAATTTTAGGCCTTAATCTTAATTTTTTTAATCATAAACATGACAAAAATTAACAAATCTAATCTCACCAAGATAGTCACGTGCATTCAGACCAGCAAAACCCACCTTTCGGAATAGCCACCAGCTGCCTAGGCCAAAAGTAATTTGAACACAAATAGAATAGCTCACAATAAATAATAACAAAGAACATACCAACAATTGGAAAATTTTGAGAAATATTGTAGATAAATAATACCAAAAAAACAGGCGGCGACGGCGGCCGAAAATGTTGTAGATAAATTTTAGAAAACGGTATGGTAGCAGGGCTGGGAGGGCGACGGCGATGGCGACTGGAAAACGACGACGACGACGAGGTGAAAACTCCGTTTTTTGGATTTTTTCAGAATATTTTTCTCCATACAATTGAAGGATTTGAAGACAGAATGATATATTTATGCTTTTTTAGAGTTTTTGGACGGTTTTTAGAGGTTTTGGACGGAGAAGGAGAGAGAAAACCCAGAGGGTCACCGGAGAAAAATGGAGAAAAGAGTTTTGCGATCGCGGTTATATAGGTGAATTTTTGCGACAACATTATGTCGTCGCAAAAAATATTAAATAGTCATCGCAATTAATATAAAAAGATATGTCGTCGCAAATAGTGAATGCGACGACAAATCGTTCTAAAATTTTGTTCTTTTTTTTGCAACGACATATAATATTATAATTTTAGCAACGATAAATGTCATCGCTAATAACTTTTTTTGTTGTAGTGATTATCTCTTTAATTAATTGAACTGTCGTTATTAAAATTAAAAATATAATAATAAGGCTAACGAGAGAGGATAACCTAAAACGGGGGAAAAGGAAAATTTGACAGAGACATAATATCGTCATTGGCCGGGTAATTAGTAAGCTTATAGGCAACTTGATGAAGCATTAATTCCTTCCGCATACACCGACACTTTTAATTTGTTTTTTCTTCAAGAGTGCCCAATCTTATTCAAATTAAAAAAATAACAGAAAAGAAAAAATATCTTCACCCTCTTAAATAATTGTCAACTTGATGCTTCACCTCTTCAAGAGGACTCTTAATTTTTTTATGTCTTCCTGTCTTTATATTTGCATGGTCCTTTTCTTTCGTCTTTAAAAATTAAAAATAATTAAATAAATTATTGTCCTCTGAGTTCGGTCAATTTAGGATGACTTGAAAACCTCAATTTTTGAAGTAGTACTCTTGTTTGGATTTCAATTCTTTCCTCAGATTTGAAACTCAATTAAATAAATAGTTACATAGATAAATAACAGTCCAAGTTTTTTGGAGGTGTCATAAAACAATAAAAAAAAAAAAAAGAGAGAGGAAAATTCTCAAGTGATATGTGATCTAAATATAAAAAAAAAAAAAAATATGAAGCGAACAACAAGAATTAAGCATGAAAAATTAGAATTGATGAAAATTATAAGTAGACTTGATTAAAATGGTACTAATTAAAGATGACACCAATTCCTTGCCTCTACCGCTCAATTTATTTGAAAAGAAAAAAAGTTAGTAACAGTCAGTCCACGACATTAATTTATATTGCCTTCTCAACTAAAAATATATGATATGGGGCCTCTTATAATCAATTTCATAAATAAAGTTGACAAATTAAAAATGTAAAAGACCGTGAGATCTGTAGAAGGAATCGTTTGTGTCTCAGGGGAGAAATTTTGAGAAGAATAGGCTGTGTAAGTAAATATTGTTCAAGAACAAAAGATATCAAAATTTCTATAAACGGACCAGTAACGGTTCCAACTGTCATAGTCCAAAGGGTCCAGCTTCAGTCTTATCTTCTCTTGAATCATTATGATTAAATATATATGAAATTGGAATTAATTATTGGACGACACACACACAATAGACTAGAGATTGTCGATTGGTTCCTGCCTGAAAACAAAAACATGCAAGCCCCACATAATAAAAAGAAAAGCTCGATTGATTCGATATTATCTGTAAACATATACAAAAATAGTGATTATCCAAAGAAGATATAGAGTTGGGTCTTCGTGTACAGTGTTGAAGATCTCATATCCAAATAGAAAAAGTAAAACCAAAAAGGACAATTAAGATGATCACACGTGGACGAGCTCATACTTTTATTTTACCAAGGACCAGAACCGTCCTCACTAAAATTACTTTCGAGTACCACGGGTGTTTAATATTACAACTAGATGGGCTCCACTAAGTATCGATTTAAATTAGTGTGTAGTGTTAAGCAGGATTATTGGTGCTCTTAATATTGTTGTTCGGATATGCTTAGAAGCTCTTCCAAGTAATCCGCTCCCAAATCCTCCAACACCACCACATTTTTCATTACCACAATCTCATTAGCAATATTAACAGCATGATTAGTATTAATAACATGATTAGTACTCTTAATATTATTCTTGATCATGATCTGATCCTTCTTCTTCGTGGAATTAGCCGATTTCCTCTTGAGGGAGTGTCGTTTCTTGAGAGCCAAGACGGGAGAGCAGCCCTCGTGGAAGGTGTACTTCATCTCCCTTAGGGATTGGCAGACCTTCTCCGCCGGGAAATTGAGGACCGCCAGCGAGCCCCGCATTAAGAATGCCGCTTGGTCGTAGGCCAGCGCCGCCTCCTCCGCCGTGTCGAACGTCCCCAGCCACACTCTCACGCCGTTCCTCGTCGAGTCCCTTATCTCCGCCGCGTACTTCCCCCACGGTCGCTTCCTCACTCCTCGGTACGCGGTCCCGTCGTTTTCCTTCTCCTCCTCGTCCTCGGGCGCCGCCCTCGAGTTCACCTCCTCTTGGTCAACTACCACTGCTTTGATGTTGTTGTTATTAGAATTCGAACTCGATATCGGCGACCGATGATCTCCGTCGGTACCGGCCTCCGCGAGGACTCCGTAGAGAAGCATTTCTTCCGTGTCGTTCACGTTGAAAGGAAGAGGATGAGGATTAGGATTAACAGATGACTGGTGACTGTCGTCGTAGACGTTGAACATGTTGTTGTCGTTGTGGCTCCACGAGAGAGATTGGTCGAGTGATGATGAGTTGAAGGAATTCGACGATTGATCGGAGTAATTATAATAATCTGGACATGATGGGATATAGAGCGAGGAATATTGTTGATAATAATCCATCGATCTCTTTTTTAATGTGTGTTTTTATGTATGTTGTTGAATATATCGGTGTAAACTCGATATATGTGTTTGTGATCTTGGTTGAGTAGGACTTGGTGTGTTTTGGTCGTATGAAAGGAAAACAAGTACAAAATGCTATACACATATATAGACATAGGGTGGTGGGGAAGGAATTAATTATGGTAAAGTAATTAGAAGGATAAAGAAAATTTAATTAACTGTAGCGAATGAGATGGAAAAGAAGGAAGGATTACATTAATATTATATAATAAATTAATAATACCACACTAATTATCTATGAAATCAGATCGTTAATGGGACCAAACTAAGACGTCGGCACGTGAGTCAAAAGGACTCGTGGCCAAGGCGGCCAGGTCATCGGAAGAAATTCAAACTGATGCCGTCATCCCGATGACGTATGTTCCTTGTGTTATTACGACCGCCTATCGTCCTCCGTCCACTTGGTGCCTAAATTGTCACTGTTCATATATATACATATATATATATATATATTTACACACACATGTATATAACATATATATATATACAGCGAGTGTCGTCGTTGTCAGCAGAAGTCGATTTATCGGCCTTCTTAGCCTTATAAAACTGACTCCAACCATCCATTGAATTGATGCTTATAATTGTAGGGAGAGGGAGGCTACAAACGGTTGCACCTGATCCACCTAGATTATTTCAAATACAATGACATAATTGTATCATAATACTACATATTTTCAAAGTCTCTCCACAGATCCAATTGTCTTACTCTCTCAATTAATTAGACTTTTATTGAATTTTTCGTTAGAGGACAATAATTTTGATGTGTAAGTTTTGTGATGACTGTGAATCTGTGGTGAACATGATCGCCATAATGGAGCATGAGCCGAGGAGATTCGATTTAGGCAAAAAAAAAAAAAAAAAAAAAAAAAAAAAAAAAGTAAAAGCATATACAGATATATACTATTTGTAGGACGTAGCCAATTTAATACGTGGCTATGCTTACGTAAGAGATATTATGTATACACATATATTATATATATAATATGTATGTATAACATATGAGACGTTTGGGTGGACGAAAAAGACAAAGCAGGGGAAGGGTTGCTATAGAAGAGGGTGTGCGGTTTAAATGATGAGGAGTACGTGACCCTGGCTAAAGCCAAAATTGTATCTAGTTGGGTTTTTTTTTTTTTTTTTTTTTTTTTTAAAAAAAATTGGAGACTTACTACTGGCGGCGCCAACAGTACTACCATATGCTCTAATCTTCAATTTGTAGCTAATTAATCACAATTAATAGAACAAATTAACTAGTTTATGATTCAACTTTATATATATTTGTGTATGTAAGTGTATTTATATAAACATATCTACACATATGATGTTTGGTTAATAGAGACATGTCTCATGAGCTGATGTTTTATATCGTTTTACTGCCCCTCTCAGATGATAGCTAGCTTCCAAGCTTTCGTTGATTGGGTTTGCTAGGTGTTTGTTGCTAATTGGAATTGATCAATAGTATGCCAACATTTCTTAAAAAACACAATGATATAAATCCTTACCAAAACTATATTACAGATATATCTTCCTTTACTATAACAATTTTGTTTGTTATTGAAATGTTTCCAAAATCTCTTATAAAAAAGTTGAAAGAAAAACGAAAAATTAATCTTTGACCTGATCCATATCTTGTTACTGTTCAACGACGGCTGTATATTATAGCTCAATCATTTATCTTACTTTCAACTTCAATTCAAATTTTTGTGCACACGTTTCATTAATTATAGTTCAAGGATAAAGTTATTTCTGTACTCATTCATTTCGTTGATTCGAGTTTAAAATTTAAAATGTGATTTTATGTGAAAGCTTTTTATTGTAACAAAAAAGTTAAATGTAATTATTTGTGAGAACTTTTTACTGTAAAAAAATTTAAATTCTAAACTCGAATTAACAAAATGAACGGGACACTCTGTCCAACCTTGTTTTCGGTGTATTTCAGTAGATAAATAAAATGTTAACAGCTAACTGGCACATTTCAGTCAAGTCACTAAGGAAGGGAACGATTTTATTTATTTATTTATTGGAAGGTATACTGATGTGATAATTTCGCCCAAGTTGATATTATTATTATTTTAAGAAAATTTAAGGGTTGGCAACCTAATTTTTCTTGTTTCTCAAATCCATGTGAAGAATAGGAAAAGGGATTTTTTTTTTCTCTCGCCGGATTAAGTTTTGGAATTGGATCAAACAAGTTTAATAAAATAGAAGGAGGTCAATTATTCTGTGGGTATGGGATAAAGCTATGTTTTAAACTATTAGATTTACATCATATTTTAATCGATTTTTACATATTTTTAATGCAATTTAATCAAATTTAACAAATTAGGAAACCAAAACATAATTTAGAATTGATGATGGAAATTTAAAACTCTACACTTTATGATACGGTCAAATGTAAAATTAATGCTTGTAAGTTGTAACCATAAAATATAATTCATTTTAAACCATAAATGTAAAATTTTTCTTTTTCTTTTACCTTTTAATTCTTACATTTTACATTTTGGGGAATTCCACAGTACCAATTTCAGCTGACTTCTTCCTGTTTTTGCAAATTGGCAATTCTTTGATCTCTAGAAACTTCATTAGATACATTTGACCATTTTAGATGATTGTCTGCGTGATTCTGAATTTCTGACGAAATTCTTGACCATATTTTATAATTGTATTTGAAGGATTCTGATGATATTTTTGACTTACATGAGACAGCTTGGACTACATTTAAATATTTTTTAACAAGCTTAAAAAGTTTGAATTCCAATATGTTATGCTATTGCAATTTCATTTATTTTACAATTGTTTCCCTGCTTTCTAAATTTTTAGCACAAATAACCCTCTACATATTATAACAACATAAGATGTCCAAAGAGTTCTAAACTTCATCCTCACCAATCTCTCCTCGGGACCCTATTTCTTGATAAAACAGATTTATAGTGGCAATTTGAAGAAGAAGGGCATTCACCATGATTGAAATCCCATGCCCTTCATTAGCCCTATTAATATGGATTGTTTTTCCTTTTAATTATATATATGTCGTTTGGGAAACACTAGTAGACAAGAACTAAATGCATACATTTAAAAAACAAAAACAATAATAAGATAATTTTCACCTGTAGAAGCCTAAAATTGAAAATTTGAGTTTTCAATTCGAGTTGAGATGTGACATTTTCTGAGAGCTTTTTTACTGTAGCAGAAAAAGTTAAATGTGACATTTGATAAGAGTTTTTTACTGTAGAAATTTAAAATTAAAAATTCAAATCGGTGAAATGAACGATGTTATAACTTAGCATGTATTTGAGTCCCAAAAGGGAGCAATATGCAATAGACATACTTCTCTGGGGTATCACATGATATAAAAGGTAACTATAGTGCTAAAAAAAATTAAAACAGAGGAGTGAGAATTCAAAAAATATTGCCCAATGATTTATGCTTTGAATACAATATTTTAAAGCAGAGTGCTGGAGCACCTAGCATTGACGTGGACAATAATGGGATGTAGCTTATAATAGTACCGCTACTCCTTAGGCTTGCAATAAAAAACTCGGTTCCAAGTATTTAGTCAAGTCCATGCATTATACTTTATCATCAACTTGCACTTTGTCATCATTATTTTTATATATGATATCGTGGGAAGAACATTGTCATTATTCTATCCCGGTCTGTCCCCACTCCAAAATCTAGCTTAGTATACTATGGAGTAAAGACAACATATAAAGAGACCAAAAGAAATCCATTCTTGGGATTATTAGCGTTTAATCCGAAAGAGACATTAATTTCTAGTCAGGATTTGGTTTAATATATTACTAATCACAAAGTTTGCCCACTTAACATATATATAATTAAATATTAATTAAGAAACGAGAGGTGTTTTGAAGTTTCAACTCACCTTATCTCAAAGGTGAATGAAAAGGTAAAATGTCTATCTCATTTCCCTTTCTACATGGCCCATATTTCGTGCTAGTTTTTGACTATGGAGACTTGGATCACAACACTGTTGATCATGTACAAAAAACATCAATTTATTGATATGATCGGCTAATTGTTAATTTCATTTTCTTTTGCTCCTCAGTGATATCAGAAAATCTTTTCCTGAAAAATAGGAGGGAGCAAAGCAAAGAGAAAAGTAAGAGGATGTTTAGTTGGATGATTTAAATCATGTGATTCAAATTATTTTCAATTTACGTGAATTTTTTGTGAAAAAAAATACTGTAACAAACCATGAATCATGATTCGAATCAGGGATCGAATCTCTCTATCAAACATCCTCTAAATATTCATATTTGAGAAGCAAAAAATATATATATATATATATATTATTCTGACAGGATGGCCTACTTCCTCGAATCTCTCTATCAAACATCCTCTAAATATTCATATTTGAGAAGCAAAAAAAATATATATATATATATATATTATTCTGACAGGATGGCCTACTTCCATTATAACACTTCTTGGAATGTGCATGAACCTGTACATATCATTCACAAAAGTTCAATCTTTTTCCTAACATCAATATTATTGGGTTTTGCAATATATATTGCTACTTTCAATGTCACGTACTAAATACTCCATTTTCGTAATAATCCAAGCCAAATTGAATTTGGGTTCATTTCCCTCGTGTTCAACAAGTGTGTGGTTGAAAATTTGCCTCAAGTACCATATGCATATACATCTCTTTTGATGCAAATTGAGTATATCCTATTTTCGAAAAGGCCAATATTTGTACCTATACATATATAAACAATGCCCAAAAAGTTGTGACCACAAAAACATATGTGTGCTCTTTTGCCTAAGCATATTTTGTTTATTTGCCAAGTCATGATTAATTTAGACCAACAAAATAAAAAAATAATAATAATTGGGTAGTATAATTGGCATTCATCAATTAGCAAAAGGGCATTAAGAAAGTTGACGACTTGACCCACTAAGTGAGTGTTGATAGTAGTATAAGTAAAGCAAATGTAGTTCACATATATAGTTGCAAATCAAAAGTACATTTCCAATGGGCTAATTATGTGATTTATACCACAATAACGTTGATTTAATT